AGTAATATATTTACTGAGAAAAATGGTGACGTGTTCAATACTTATTTTACCTGCTGTATCTGCTTTTACCAGCAGATGTCAGGCTCATCACATGTTTGCATATGTTTTTTGTTTACAAAGTAGTTTTACTGCTTTGCTGAAGTTTTCTGAATATATCTTTTTTTCTCTTAGGTGCACAGGTGGCTCCCACATGCTGCTGTGTGTGTCAGAAAAACCAGGGCTCCAGGACACAGTGTTCCCAGTGTGACAGGCTAGTCTGCTCCTCTTGTACCCGACACTGTTCCAGCTGCTCGAGCCTCTGCTGCTCCGTCTGCACCATCATAGAGTAAGTCACATTTAGRGACGTCTGACAAACTCTTTCTCTGTTCCATGTACTTTCTTATTTAGACAGGTAATCTTATTCACAAGAGTCACTTGTTCTAATTGACTATCTTTGCATTGATTGAAGGTAAAGTTATACATCTGTATACTTTTATTTGTACCCTTGGAATACTTGAATAGATGGACATTAATTTACAAACAAGGTGCAAGCAAATAAGTTAAATTACTTTTGGGTTATAAACAGTCATCTCTTGTGAACAAGATGCAGATATTTTATATGTTTATATAACATAGCTAAACATATTTTTATTTATTTTATTTTTGCATTTTTCTCTTTAACGTTTTATCACATTTATTTTATCTTCTTTGCTTCGTATTCTATGGGCACCGCAGTGGGACGACGCCACAATTTTGTTACACTATTGTACGAAGTATGATTGTGCAATGACAATAAAGATTATCTTATAAGTCTCTGATATGCATATTGGTATTTTTTAATAAATTTAACAGATTTAGACGATTGAGGACAAAGTAAATGTTAATTTTAAGGATTTTGAAGTTGACAAATTTTAAATTTAGCAGTCAGTAGTTTTGTATAATTTTCACTGAAGAGAAAAAAGTAATTAGAGGTATGCATTAAAAAGGTTCAGTAAGTTGTTCTGGTGTCACATTAATTGATACTGTGTAATTATATTTCCTGCCAGCAGGGGGAGACAAAGATACACACAGCAGTTTGATGTTTAATCGCCTCACACAGCCTAGGATTTTACTTTTAGTTGACATCGGTTTTATCAGTTTCATTAGTACTTTTCTATCATGTCCACAGATTTGCCCAAACTGCTTTAGTTCAGTGTTATGTTTTTTTTATTATTATTAATTTTAGCATTTGCTTTGAAAAGCAGAAGTGACGTGTATAAAGCTTCAAAGCTTTGCAGGAAAATTCATTCAAAATTTTTAAAACTTAGGATTTTATAAATTAATGTCAAAATAAAGTGAGATCTTGTTGTAAAGTGAAAAAACATTTGTTTTTATGGTTTTATCCACGCTGCTCTTTTTGTCCACATCTGCTTAACCCGAACTCACTGAGTGGTTCCATCATAGCTGATGCTGTTTGAATAGAAAAAAAATAATAATTTCTAGATATTTAACAATGTTTCTTTCGTTGTTCCACAGTTACAGCGGGCGATACGATGAGGTACTGTGCTGCAGCTGTTCAACGTAAAAAAAGGACCAACAAAACGAACTGGAGTTTATGCTTGTATAGTTACCTTGTATGAGATATTACAAAAACTACATTTTATCCTCGTTTTTTTTATATGAGTCAGATTCTTGTATATACATTTATTCCAAAAATTAACTGAAATAAACTTGAACTCTTTTGCACACAGTTTTCTTTTTAGTGTGTTTTGTTATTGTTTTTTATATTGTACATTAAAAAATTAGACCTGGATGCTGAGTTACTTTGTAGGTTTGGGTTGAAACAGCAGCAGGTGGCAGCACACATCACTTACATGGTTGTGAGATAACAAGTTGTTATCACATTTGGCATCCGGACGACTTTTCTTAGTGGTTGAGCAAATTGGTTTCGCTTTTCCTCAAGAGAAACGGCTTCAACCTTTTAGCCAAAAGCGTCTTGAGTTTAGTCTCAGTTTGAGAATGATAATTAAATTCCAGTCCAGCTCATCTGGACTGACCTTGAGAATTTATCAAATGTATTTACAGAACCAGGCAGAGGTTGAAGCAGACAGTTTGGCTACAGTTATCCCTGCTGGACACGACCTTGTGGTGTAATCATGTCTTTATGTTTGCTGCTGTTTATCAGTGGTGATGGTCTGTTTCAGGGTCAGATATTAAAAACATTTAATTCTCTGTGGCACTTTGAAACGAGCCTCGTGACTATAAGTAGTGGATACTGGCCTGGATGAGTGTGTTTCGCGGAGCTTACTGCAAATGTCCCTGTGAGCTGCAGAGTCACATCGCTCGCGCGGCGGGCCAGTTGTGGCTCCGGTCTTTGGGGAGCTCTTGCGGCTGGTGTCCGAGGGCACCGCTTGATATCTGGCTGAGTGAGCAGACAGCTGCTGGTGAGCCAGGCGTCAAGTTGTCTGCACACTTCTTGATGAGACTTTAAGGAACTCGGCTGAACTTGAAAGGATGACATCAAATTTTGAAGCTGCGTTAAACTGAACATGCAAAAAAAATCTGTTGAGGCAAAACTGATTGATGTAACATGTTAACTGTAAATGCTGAGTCAGCATCTACCTGTTTACATTTTTTTTTCAGTTAATTCTTCATAAGTTGTTCTATTTTAGTCACCATAAATCAAAAACTTTGAGCTCATTCAGGAGATGGGTGCTATGATTTAATTTTGTGACTTAGTTTATTTTTAATTTTTTTTTAAATATTTAACTTAAGTTACAAATGTTTCCTCATTGAATACATTCAATTCCTTCATAAAATTGTTTTTAAACCTGCTTCAGACTTGTTTTTAGATTCCATTCAGCTACTTTTAGGCTTTGGCTAGCCTCTTTCTATTTTTAGCTATCAGTCTGCTACTTTGAGCTAGCCTTTTGCTACTTTAGCTTTTACTTAGGCCAAGAGTTATTTTTAGCTTTTAGCTGGCCTTTTGCTACTTTGAGTTTTTAGCTACAGTTCTGCTACTTTTCAGTTTGAGCTATCTATTTGTTTCTTTAGCTTTTGACTACTGTTCTGCTATATTAAGCCAAGGTTTTATTTTAGCTTTTTGCTGGCCTTTTGTTACTTAGTTTTTAGCTACAGTTCTGCTATTTTTTGGCTTGAGCTAGCTATTTGCTACATTTAGGTTAAACTTTTACTACCTTTAGCTACAGTGCTACTTTTACTTTAATTTTAGTTAGCCTTTTATTTTTAGCTTTTAGCTAGCCTTTTTCTATCATTCGATTTTAAGGCATCTGTCTTTTTTCTGTTACGTACTGTTTTGTTACTTTTACTTTCTAGCTAGCTTTTTTGGCTATTAGTGGGTTTTTTTTTTTTTTTTAACAAATCAGTTTCAGCTTCAGGTCACTTCTGCAGTCGCTCAGCGTTAACACTGTTTTTACACAAAACGTAGTGTTTCTAGTTCCGTCATGTTAACTTCTTATACTTTTTAAAGAAGCTGCAGCTGTTAAAGTTTTCAGCACATCTTCATCCACGGCACCAAGTAGGTCAAAAGGTCACGGTGTCTCCTCGCTATGGGAAGACCATCTACTCTTTGATGCATGTATAGCTGAGAGGAGGTGGGGGGCACATAGACCCACACACACAAACACCACCTACCACCTCTCACGCAGCAGACAGCACCAACTGCACTCAGCCAGCAGGAGCACGTGGCTTTGTCTTTGGCCCATTCTTTAGGGTACCAGCTGTGGTCTGAGTGTRGCGAGCGTCGAAGCGAGTGATGCTGCTGCTATAAATATGCGTGAACGAGAGTGAGTAAGTGACAGCTGTACAGTGGACCAAGGACACGCTGTCTTGGCACCGTCAGGGCGAGCCAGGCCAAAAAAGGCGAATGCAGCATGAGAGAACGCTAACTGATAAAGATGTATGTATTTGAACCAGTTCTCACCCAAAGTCGATAATGGTTTTGTCTGTTAGCAAAATATTTCATGAACCTATGAATGGAGACGCAATTAGTGGATGGTCGTCTGCAGCTGGTTAAAGGCACAGTGTGTAGGATTTGTTGTTTTCAGCGACATCTAGTGGTTGAGTGGTTGAATCATCCTCCCTGGTCCTCCCCCCACCCCCACTTCCAAACGCAAAAGAGTTGCTACGGTGTCTCTTATGTGTCAAAAACCTTTGATAATTCCAACCGCGATGTCTACCAGCAGCTTCAGGGCTAGTGATGTTTCAAGTGGTAAGATTATGAGCTTTAATAAGTAAAATTATCCCAGCTACAATGACAGACAACTAAAACTGTTTTTGACGCCGCCACCGCAGTTTGTCCTTCATGAGCCTTCGTAGACAAGATGGTGGTTGCCTGTACTGGTGACCCACGACCATGGAGATATAAACAGCTTTTTATAAGGTAAAAATAATAAAACAAGGTCTTTGACTGCAATGATTAGACATGTTTTTTATTATTGTCATTAGTGATTATCTCAATTTCGGCTAAAAGACTTGACAAAATCCTACAAACTGTGCTTTTAAGTTCAAGATGGACACCACAAAATTTGACTTTGAGAAACTTTTCTGTGGTAGTAGCTGAGAGTTGTCTTCAGGCCTAAGCATTCCTTCAACAAATGTTATATATATTTAAGTTGTAAACCGTTTTTCAAGTGTGTCACACTTAAAAACTCAAGTCAGACATATTCAGTTTATTTGGAAATAAGTTAAAATTTCTTCTTAAGGATGTAGATTTTCTGAAAGTCAAAATAATGGCTCCTCTGAAAACTAATTGGATGATAACAATATGCGTGTGTAAGAGGAGGGCGAGGGACAGAAGAAGTACCCTTGCATATATGTGTGTGTGTGTGTGTGTGTGTTTATTGTCTGTGCCCAAGTGTGGACGTGTTTGTGTGCCCTTTTCAAGTGTGACCACCTGTCTTTTGTTAAGAAATAAATAAACAAACACGGCCCACACCAGCTGTCCCTGGCAGGCCGTCCCTGCAGAGGTCAAGGGCTCCCACCGCTGGCCTTGTTGAGGTGCTGGACACTTACAACTTTCCTCTCAACTTCTCTCAAGTACCTCTAAACACTCACACACACTCATATGTATACACACACACACACACAAAAAAATGGCCCTCGCTGCCAAACGAGCCCGGCTTTGAGCCTGAGAGAAGAATGTTTTAATACTGAACATATCCCGGCTCGTCACCCTGCAGCTAAGCCCTATCACATGGCCCCTGCTTTCCATGTGAATGTGTTGCTTCATAAGAAGCACACACACTTGTACGCACACCAGTAAGTCCCTCATGAAGCAGATGTGAGATGCAGGTGACAGGGAGCCCTCCGAGGCCCACTGCTGTTTACAGTGAGACGTGTCTGCGGCACCGAGGAGGGCCCTTATTTACAGTGCCATAAGCCGGCTGGGGCTGTTCTGGTGGCTCTGAATGATCTTGGGAGGACATTGTTTTCTTTATGTTGGAGCTGCCCAGCCAGCGCCGCCGTGTCGTCTGTTTGTGCATAAAAGTACGTGCTGTGGGGAGCTGGGCCAGACAATAGCCTGGTTGAGCTACTACCAACGCACACAATGGAGTGGTGGGATGAGGCTGAGGTTTGGGGGGCCCGCGGTTTGGAGAAGTGGAGGCGGGGGGTGGATGGTGCCCTCGTCTATAACATGGCGTTCCCAGAGTGGGTGAGCTGGGATTTGGGGGAGGGTGGTGGGAACCAGAGCACATCCCGATTGGGATCACGTAGCAAAGCAGCTGGATTTCTTTCATGGTGCGGCGGGGAAATAATTAAAGGTCTTTGCTATTGAAAATGTCCAGTGAATTGGCATGAAGCTCCTCAATTAGACACACATTTGGTCTGTGTGTGTGTTAACATGCAACTAACGTGTCGTCTGCTCGGGCTAAAAAAATTAAAAACTACAAGGTTGCTAATCTGCATCCCTCACTGCCTTTCATTAAAAAAGTTTTGGAAATTACTCAGTTGTTTTGGGCAACCTTTCAAAATAACGTGCAAAATCTCACGTGATGTCACTTTCAGTTTGTTAATGACTCTCAGCTACTACCACATCCAATATTAGCTTAACATCTTTGAAACTTGAGCCATTTTCTGATTGGTTAAGTTTGATTAGATGTGGTGGCCATCTTGGCTGACTCCTAAAAATTTCCTTAACTTTGGGAGGTTGGCCAATACTCAAAAGATCAAAGGAAAAGATTGGCTTTTCGTCAACCTCCACAAAGAACTGAAAATCAGCCCCAGAGCTCTGCAGTGAGCACKAATGTCCAGTTAAAAACAAGTTTGTTTTTAAGGGTATCGTTCAATGTTTTTTCAATAAAATAAGATGAATACGTATTGTGACCTTATAAAACCTGACACTGTCAGTTATTTTAAAAAATCAGTATCGGCCAAAATTGAAGTTGGCAGGTCAGACATTTCAAAGCTTGGTGATCGGCTAGAAAACTGCAATCAGTTGCACCCGYAGTTCTAAATGTAAATTGATTACTTTCTGAAAGTTTCTTCAAAATTTGTCAGATATTTTGCAAAGAAACGGTGTTGACCCAGTACTTTGCTAAGGTTTTTCTCAGGAGCACTTCACTGCAAAAATGATCCACCTAAAATAATCGGGATAACGATTCACTCAAGCCCTGATTCGATTTTAAATTCACAATCGCAAATATTTTCGATTTAGTTTGTTTTTTCAACAAAATGAACTGTAGCCATTTTATAACCAAATGTTTCTTTTTCTTTTAATATCACCATTTCTGTCCTTGCATCAAACTGTAACTCTCTGTTCTCTTAGTAACAGAATATAACTTTAAAATAAATTAAAACGTCCTTTTGTGACAAAAAGTATCAAACTGAATTTGTCTTAAAGACATAACTTAGTGTAATACAATAACAATGAAATCAATTCATTTTTAAAATAAACTGATTCACATTTTAAGCAGTTATCAATTATGAATCGATTAATTAATTAAGTTTATTATAGGGACAGACACACAATAACAAAAACAAACTGAATAAAACAGCATCCCATGCCTGCATCATGGTGCTTATAGTGTGAGCTAATTTGAAGCACTAATGCTAATTGCACCGTCCCTTTAAAAATATGAGTGAAAAAGACCAGATTATAGTCTGAATCTTCTCAAATTAAGTGAAATAATTTGCTAGTGCAGTAAGACAATTGCACTTTAGTATGACTTCTTGAAAAAATAAAAAATTTGCAGGCCAACATTAATTCTGCTTTTGCTCCTTGAATGTCTTAAAACAAGAACAGAATACTTGTTTTGGCTGGAAGACTTGGTCAGATGGACATTTTTTGCAGTGTTGGAGTATTTGATCAGTCTCATCTCCTATCATACCACATCTTGGGTCAGTATCTGTATAACTGACTGATTTATAGCTATTTTTGTGTTTTTTAAGGTCATGGGCTGTAGCCAGCTTAAATTGGGTTGAATCCAAGAGTTAATTGGTCGTAGATCCACTTCTAATGACTACTTTCTGTGAGTTTAATTAAACCTTTCCACTGGTTCATGAGATACTTCGTTAACAGAYGCACAGATTTAAGAAAAACATGTTCATTCACTTTTCTGTGGTGGCTGATTGTTGTTATTTAGGGTATATCCTCTGTTGGAGACAGGTCAGGAGCTCCGTCCTTGAGTTTAGTTTATTKTTTCAGAAGTTTTTCTACACTCTGTTGTCTATGTACACATTACCACACTGCTTACACACAGTGACTGCCTGATTGTATTTGCTGTTTGTGTTTCCTCTGCAGCACATTCAACCGTCATAGCCTTCTTCTTCTTCTAGTATTATTATTATCAGTGTGCATTGCCAATGCAATGCACACTATTGTGATTCGTTTCCCATCAAAGTCATCTCAACTTTGGCATGCTTCTCCTCCTGCATACTTTGTCCTACAGCTGCATTATAATTTATATCTGTAAAGCTCTTGTGCCAAATGATGGCTATGCATTTTGGTGCCTGTAAAACTTATAGTTTTTGAAATATTAATGTTTAATAAATTATAATGGCAATCAATGGAGCCTTGTATTGGTCCAATACTGCCCCTGCTGCATCCGCACAATATGGTACTGCATCACAGTTTAATAATATTTAAACTCAGTAGTTCAGTGATTACAATATTAATATGATTGTATTTTGATGTTTTACTGTAATACTGTCTTAATATTGTCCAATTGTTGCAATATATTGCAGTTTGGTGTCAAAGATTGCATTGGCAATGTGGCCTCTTTCTGCACACTTACAAACCAACCCCTGGCACCACCCTCTGCCACAGCTCCAACAGTCTAATGGTCTGTCATGGACTTTCATGTGGGAGATCAGGGTTCAAAACCCAGCTAAAGCAACTTTAACAAAAAATCTCTTCCAACTTCATATTGTCACACAATTACCTTAATTACAAACACCTGCTGATGTGACAGGCACAAGCTAGAATAGAAAACACATTTGGACTTGGTCAAAGTTCATTCTGCAAGTCCAATGCTGCAGGCAAAAGCCATGCTACAAGGCAATGCACACTTGTTTTTACATCGTAAAAATCCATGTCTAGTTATTATTATTATTTTCCAACCAAGTCTCCCATGTTTTTCTGACAAACTGGTCTGAAACTGCTCCGAATAGAGGAATGGTGAATAAATGATTGCCAGACAAACGGAGGAAAGTTGTTCCATTTAATTCTATGCATCATCTCAATAAAAGACCTAAATCAAGATTGTCACATTTTCACAGCACACACACACAGGCACACTCCAAAAGCGCAAAACAAGGAAGTAAATAAAAAGTACAGATATTGATCAAAAAGTAAAATTGTCTCAGTATCTAAGCAATGCCAATTCTGCATGAAGATTGTCCTCTAATCTCTCTAATCTCTACACCACTAACACTGAAGCTTCTGATTACTATAAAATAGAACCTTTTTCTGTTTAAAAAAAATTATATTAAATTCTAATGGCACTTCTAAAAAGTCTATTAAAAAGGTTTGACGTGAAGGCTTTCTTTTTTTATCAAATTAAAACAGAGTCAAAATGTTGCACATGAAGCATTAATAAATATTTTTCATGATTATACACAATTATTTCACAGTTGTGACCTGCAGAAAACAAAATTCCAGTAACAGAACAGGTTTTTTTCCAGGATCATACAGCATGAGCTGGGCGAACAAAGCCCTCAAGTTGACAATCAGAATCTCAGCATTTCACATTAAATAAAGAAAAGAAAGAATACAAAAGGAACAGATTGTTAGTTCCCAGTAGTATTGGCTTAAAAAAAAATAAAAACACAAAAAAAATGTTCAGTGAAACAAAACCAGAACTATTTTATTCACATCCGTTTCAAACCTTCAACGTAACCTTTCACAAAGTATCTTAATATTTTTGATATGATTGGGAAAAAAAACAAACAGAAAATTGTTAATTTCATTTTCATCAGCAGGCCACTGCTGTCGTGATGCAAACAAACAAGCAAACAAAAAAAAAGTTGAAAATAAAAGGTCTTTTTCCAGATGCAACACCCCTTTGTGTGTCTACAAGGCACATTCGGTGACCATCCTGGAGGTATAAATAAAAAAAAAACAAGACAAATCTTTACACGTCGTTAGTTTTTCTACCGCTGTACACATGTACATTACAGATCCCCACCACGTAGAAATGTTCCTTAAAAACACTCTAAACTGATATAATCTTACATTCCTTTGTGCTCGGACTCAAATTAACAGCACAAGTCAACAGCTTTGTGTGAAACGGATTCAACTGGGAGTGTTTTTATGCCGACTTCAGGTCAGGAAGACTCCATCTTTATTGGTCTCCTCGAGAAAAACAACAACAACAAAAAAAAAACTTTTAAAAATCGCATCAAATTTTACTTTTTTTTTCCTGAACTGATGTCTTGATGACCAAAAGAAATGCTGAGGTGGACACTGAGCTTTTTTTTTTAATTTAAGAAAACTGCCTCCAAACAAATACATTTCTCACATTCCAGGTAACTTCATTCAATACAGAAAAGTGAACGGAGAGCCTCGAAGTGCCTTTTCTCCTCTCAGCGAGGCGGGAGATACACAATGATACCTTGAGAACTACCTGAAACCTTGAGGTGGGGAGTGAGAGGGGGGCGGGGGGGGGGACAATGCATGTATTGTCTTGTTTCTTTAGGTAGTTGTATCGGAGAGGCTGCGCTTGTGAACTGCTTCCTGTTTTGTTTTTTAAAGAGCTCCGATTTGTAGTGAGGCGGAGTCGAATAAAGTTTTTTCTTTTTTTTTTAAAAAAAAGGAAGACACTAAGAGACTGGAGCCACCCGACTCGCTCGACCACACCTGTAACATGGAAAAACAACCCCCCCGACATGATAAATATAATATATATTTACATTAAATACACAAATAAGTAAGAAATAGCAGCCTAGACAATAGTGTTGAAACTATACGCATGCCAAAAACAAGTGCTTCTCTATGTTTTTAAAAAAAAAAGTCTTGAATACTCCGTCGAGGTTTCTAAACAATATATTAAAATACAATTACAGTAACTTGATTTGCACAGAGAAAACGGACAGCCCCAACACCGGTTAATGAGTACCAGGATTGCTAGAAAAGACAAAATGACTTTCAAGCTTAAAGAGAAAACAGACCTACAGTACACCCTGAACAGAGTCCAACTAATAAATAAAATCTGATCAAGTCTTCTCAGGACAGATTAGACAAATGTTGCAAACTTTTAGTTCCACGACCTTAGTTTATATCTACATGAACATGAAGCATTTCCTGCCATAAAGAAACGAAGGCTTCGTCAGTAGTAACTTCCACGCATGCAGCGATGTGAAAGAAATGTTGATTACAAGAACGAAAAGATCAGCAGATTTAAATTTAAAAAAAAAAACGGCAAAACTCTGATGTTCTTGATACTTCAAGCAGGCCGAGAGTTTCTCAAGAACACAATCAGTGAATCTTTTGTGTTATACCAGGAAATAAAGGTAATTTACCAGCAAACATTTGCTTTTAACCCAAATGAATCAATAACTTTCCTTTAACGTGAATTCAACTTCTGTAACCGTGAGCCCTTATGGACTGATTCAAAAGTAGAAAATCTTATAAAAACCTGGCGTGTGGAGTGTAACTTCATTTGTTTTGTTGGTTTTTCAAAGCATAACGGGAAAATTAAAGGTAAGTACCCTAAGCATCGAGGGTTTCATTAGGCAGCAGTGTTGAAGACATTAGTTTTTAACTACTTTCCGTTTGTCAGTACAACTTCTTTTAAAGTGGCGAAAAATAGAAGGCTGACCTATCAAGATGTGCTCATTCACTCACTCATCCTGAAAGCTCTAAGCAGGAGAAAAGGATATGATGGTCTGCTTGCTTCTTGTAACAAAACATAAAAACTTCATAAAAAAAAGACTCTACTCACATAAAAACAGTAAAAACCATACTTCCAGTAGTCAAACTTCATTAGTTTTTTTTTTCTGCTTATTGACGATTAAATTAAAAACTAAACTAATCCCCAAAATAAATAGTAAAAATTACTGTAGGGGTTGAGAAAATAATCACATATTGCTACTTGCGGACGGTTCTGATCTCCCACGCGCAGAAATAAAAGTTTCTCTGACGATTGTGCATAAGCATTAGCTTTCACCCAAACCATTTGAACTTAGGATGCTCTTTTCCTGCCACAAAGAAAATGAAAAGACCCCTTTGAATAATCTCGACAAACGGACAGTACAAAACAGAAACGATCAAGTGCATCATCTGATTTGTTAACCTTCGGCGACAAGGATTCACCAGGAGCTTCCTCCATCTACCTGAAACAACAGCTCCAGCTTTTAAAGTTGCTACATCTTTCAACTGGAGAAATGCCTCACGGGGGGGGGGGGGGGGTAACAAAGTCCAAAAGAAAATGCCTCCAAACCAACAGTGAAAACAGATCAGTAGTAGTGTTCAGTGTATGAAAAGACATTCTATCTCATGGCACAGGTGAGAGGGCTTCTACCCGATGGCGAGAGTCTTGACAAGGCCACAGTGAAACTTCCTGATGTGGCGGTAGAGGTCGCCGGACTGCGTGAAGCGCCGCTCGCACCACTTGCAGGCGTGCGGCTTCTCGCGCGTGTGCACCACGGCGTGCCGGCTCAGGTTGTGCGAGTACTGGAAGCTCTTGCCGCACTGGCCGCAGGTGAAGGGCTTCTCGCCCGAGTGCGTGCGCTCGTGGCGCTTGAGCGTGTACATGCAGGAGAAGGTCTTGTTGCACTGCGCGCAGGTGGGCACCGAGCCGTCGGGGGACAGCTTGGCGCGGGCGCCGTCCTTCTCGCGGAAGTGCGCGCTGAGGTGCAGCTGCAGCACGTGGGGGCTGGGGAAGACCTTGCTGCAGAGGGGGCACACGCACACCTGTTGGCCCGGGGCCAGCAGCACCCCGCTGGAGGTGGAGATGTCCGAGGAGGCCAGGTCGTCCTCCTCCTCCTCGCTGTCCCCCAGCAGTCGGCCCCTCCCGTCCAGCTCCCTGCCCGAAGCGCCCTCCCTCCTCCTGCAGGCCTCCCCCTCCCCGTCCATCAGGTCCTCCTCCTGGGAGAGCAGGGTGGCGGTAGCGCCGTTGTTGCCTGGGAAGAGGGCAGCGAACCCTGTCACCACTGAGCTCCTGGCACTATTCCCAAAGCGCTGGCTCTCAGGGCTCATCGGCTCACTGTCCTCCTGCTCTGACAGCAAGTCGTGTTCGTCTTTAACAAGTGGCTCAGTGCCCTGCTGCTGGCTGTCGAGGGCCAGCTGTCCCGAGACATAAGAGGGGTGTAAGGGATCTCTGCTAGACAGAGGCTTGAAAGACAAATCCAGTGCACAGTCCATGTCATCTGAAGCCCGGGACCTCTGGGACAGCAATACGGTGGAGCTACTGACATCAGCTTTTGTTTTTCCAGCTGTTTGGACGCGGGGCTCGGCCTCGGCTGACACATAATTGACACCTACAAGGTCCGGGGACCCGCCAGAGTGACCGTTCGCCTTCTGCCTGCTCTGCGTGGACCTATCACAATCGGTGACAGCCAGCCTGACTTCACTTTTGTCCATGTCAAACTCTTCCGCAGGGGGGGCCCCGCGAAGCCCCYGGGGCAGCCGCTGAACGAGCTGCTTGCCGTGCAGCTCGCCATCCGAGGAGTTTTCCCCGTCCAGGCAGCCGAGCCCCAGGCCCTCGCCGAGCCTGTCGTCCAGCGAGGCGAGCTCCTTGTCTTTGAGCTTGCCTTTGCACACTTTCACAATATCGTACATGTGGAGGTAGCTGGCCGCTGCCAGGACATCCTCCACGGGCAGAGTGCTGAAGTCCAACTTCCCCTCATACATAAATTCAAGGAGCAGACTGAAAGCCGGGGCTGTTACAATGTCACTGTTGAGGTGCACAACGTCCCTTTTGTCTAGCTGGTCCCTGTAGAAGAGATGGAAGTACATGCTGCAGGAGGCCAGCACAGCTCTGTGCGCTTTGAATCGAGCCTGCCCGACAAGAACAGTGCAGTCACAGAGGAAACCTTGGTGACGCTGCTGACTCAGGCACTGCAGCAACTGGCGGCTATGGTCTGGGAACTCCATTCTTCCTTCATAACCTGATGGGAAACAGGAAAAACAGGATACTGGATAAAGCAAACGAGGCAGCATTTAGAGGGCAGAGCACAGCGTCAGCTGCACCAAAAAGTGACCAAAAAAAGCAGGAAGAAAGCCACACTTTTAAAAATAGGAGTTCAAATAATCATTGGCACCTTAAAAACTTAACGCAGGAAAACAGATTTGTCTGTCAACTTTATCCAACTTACTCATTAGAGACATCAGGGCGCGTTGCAATCACTCACCCGCGCATCGCGGCGTAAATAGACCCCGCTTTTCCAAATTATTCCCAAATATTTCATGCGCTTGTGTCCAAAAAGTGACGCACCGGCGCCTCTCCAAACACACACAGACACACACACAAACAGCGCTGTTTACAGGACAAGCAGAACCGGACAGGGAGTGATAGTCCAGGAGGCGAAGGAGGAGGACTCAAGTGAAAAAAAAAATAAAAAATACGAGCTTGCAGAGTGAGTAAACTGGTGCTCTGTTTGCTAATTACACTGCAAGCTGTGGAGTCAGCTGCTCTGACATCACCGCAATGGAAACGCTACCTCCAGCTGTGCTCCTCTTTATGCCATATGTTAACGCAGACCAGCGCGGTCCAAAAAAAAAAAAAAAAAAAACAGTCAGAACTAAATTATATATTTATTAATACATAATCTTGAAATGTTTAATAACAAAAAGACGCTTTAAAGTTTTCTATTAGGTTAGTGTATTACGCGAAAGTGCATGGAGCCCCCTTTACGCACCGAGAAACTCCCTCAGATCAAACGTTTAAGTTTAAATTAGGACTGAAAACACACTTTATAACAACATAATCTGAACTGTGGTGGACATTAAAGTTCAGTAATGCCGATAAAAAACCGTATCCAAAAGTCTGATTTATTTTTATGCGTAAACTAAAGTGGACTTTTACCACCTAAGAAGTAAGAAAACAGTAGCTACATGAGAACCGGGAGGGCCAAGGTCGCGGTAAGCCGAGCTCCGTGTGTCCGTGTCGGGAAACGCATTGCTGGGAGCCTTTTAAACGGCGGAGGAACTCACAGCAACTGCGCCTGAACCAAGCCGAGGAGGGAGCGAGGAGGAGGAGGGGGGGGCGACACTCTTTTAACTTTCGCTTTATCCCGTTTTAAGGTAGAAAATAGCCCCCCCACTTACATGTACTTCCGCCCGCTTCGTCGTCTTCTTTCCCTGCTACGAGCCCCGGTGTCCTCTCATGATGTGCGGCCAGATGTTCGCGTCTCCTCGCCTCGTTTCTTCAGCTCCCAGTCCCGACCCTGGGAAGGCAGGCAGGCAGGCAGGCAGGCTGCTCTCAGCGCTGCTGTGTGTCGAGCAGGTTGATAATGGCCCAAATCTCGCGAGATCACGGCGCCACAATAACTTCGTGTAGCTGCTCCGAGATTTCACACAGCGGCAGCAAGTAGCAGAGGAGGGGACGGCGATGCTCCTGGAAACACCTGTCCCACGAACAGGAGTGGCTTTCATTGTRATAAATCTCTTTAACCCGGAGCACAAGATGAGCTTGTACAAGTTTTTATACAGAAAAGTCGGTATTTTTCTCATGAAAACAGCATGGTTTTAACGTCAATCTACATTAGGATGATTTAATAGGTTTGGATGACTTTTTAATTAAGGAAAAACTTTTTTTTCTTTTATCTGGCTAGTTAGTTTACCTTATAGCCAGTCTYTTGTTACTTTTAATTTGTTTTTTAATACTTTAAACTAGCCTTTKCTACTTTTAGATTTTACTTGGCTTTTAATTGAGATTTTAGTTTTAAGTTAGCTAGCATTTGGCTTCTTTTAATTTTTTTAGTATTCCGTTTTATATTTTTAGTTTTCTCTATTTTTGGCTATTAGCAAAGGGTCAGCTACTTTTAGCATTTAGCTAACCTTTTTTATTTTATCTTTTAGCATTACAATTTTGTTAATTTTAGCTTTTAGTTGACATTTTTATTAGCCTTTTTACTTGTGTTCTGTTTCTTTTAATGTTAGCTAGCATTCTGCAACCTTTTGGGTTTTGTTTAAATGTTTACTATGTTTAGCTTTTGGTTAGCATTTTTATTTAGCTTTTAGCATTAAGTCGGATAACTTTGGCTTTTTGTCAGCATTCTGCTRTTTAGCTTTTTGCTAGTTATCTGCTTCTTTTAGCTAGCATTTTCCTACTTTTGGCTTTTAGCTAGCCTTTTTTTATTTTAGCTTTTAGCAATAAGTTAGCATTTGAGACTTTTTGTGTTTATGTAAAATTTATAAGGTACTATTAGAGTTTTGCTAGTTTTGTTAAGTAAATTATTGTTCATTCCATTAAACTGTTTTTTTTTCTTTTTTACATTTGCTTTAGATGAGGGAAACAGAAAAGTAACATCTCTGGCATCTGAACTGATTTAAAAACATTTATAAATCATGTTTTTTTTTAGTTCAGAAAAGCCATTCTGTGGTTGGGATTCCTTTATGGGTCGTGACACATCAAGTTTTTAGAAATAAAATGACGACAGTAAGGACTTCTAACAATATATATTTTTTGCTAGTTAGAAAAAAAAGAGTGTGATTAATGTTGCAATAAAGGCTTAAAAATTATTATTATCATTATTCCCATGATTGTTTGTTTGTCAGCCCAAAATGTTCAGAAACTGAAAAGTTCGATAAACGTTTTCCTAAAAAGTCGATTTTGAGCACTTTTAAAGGCTGTATTTTATTTAAACCAACTGTCTTTCATGCAACGAAATAAAACCAGGTGTTTTTCTTGTGTGTGCCCAACTTCTAAAATGTCTAAAAGTGTCAACAAAACACCCGTCAGAGTTTTTTCCCTGTAACTGTTTGAGCCAGAGACGGTGACATTGTGAACAAACGGGCTCAAYGTTGCAGCTGCTCGTCTCGTGGCCCCATTCCCCTCCCTCGCCGCCTCATCCCTCCTTGTGCTCCCCCCCCAACTGCTTCAGTCACCTTTGCCCTGTGTTCCAGCTGTCGTGGGTTTTGAAAGGGCCATTTGCAGCTCCTTCTGACACAGAGGGGAATGAGCAATGTGACTGACGGGAGGCGGCAGCCACTGGTTTGAAGGGGCCACCAGCAAGATTCTTACCCACTTACAGATTTGGTCCATATTTAGTCCGCCTTTGCTGCTGTCGTGATGGTGGTAGGAAGAACTAAATAAGGTTTGTCCTCAGCTGAGTCAAAGAAATCGGACTAAGAAATTGTGTCAAGTGTGTGGCAAGCGATTCACCATTCAGCACTCATCCATCCATCCATCCATCCAGGGGCAGCGATGTGGATAAGAATAGGAGCCATGGCCCCGTGTTTCTCTTCCCCTGGCAAACGTAGGCGCCCATGGGGAGGGGTGTGTGTTCACAGGGGCAAAGACAAAGCAGCGGTTGTGCCTAGGGACCGAGGCCTCAGCGGAGAGAGGCTCGGCACGGTGAAGGTTCTCACACAGAAAAAAAGATAGAGAGAGAGAATGAGAGTGGGGGGGAGCAGAGACAGCGAGAACACTTCCTGGAGGTTCATTCTTCCTCTCTGCAATCATCAATGGCATTCTCTCCCTGACCCACTCCTCTCCCAGACAAACAAAAGACCCTGCATTCCAGCGGAGCCTGACCAGCCAACCAGCCAGCCCCATCCACAGTTCAACCACATCTTTCTCCCCCACTGGACCGAAGTCTCATGACAGCAGCGGTTTGTGCTCTGGATGTCGGTTTGAGGACATTTGCGGTGCATTGTCGTGCTTCAAAAAGTTTATTCAAAATCCATTAACGTCATTTTCGTTTCTTTTTTTATAACACAGTGTTTTATTCCAGCTGTGCTGTCCTGCAGATGCATTCAAATCCAGTTCTTTGTAGACATTTTCACACAATTTAAACATGCACGTCTGGCATCAATGAGAGATCTGAGATCCTCAGAAGAATGTGAAATAAACCCACAACGTTTGTCAGGCCCAGTTCTGGCCCACACTGTACTGACACTCAACCCAGACACAGCAAAGAATGTTGGTCCTTTGATGGCCCACGTGGTTTGCCAGAGGTGGTCCGTTTGCAGCACCATATAAACCAAATCACAACAATGGACCATCTTTGCCAGACCTGGTCCAGGTTGACAAACCACTTGCCAGAAGTCAGCCTGACACCAGATCTGGCCCACACCTGTCTGCTATGTTGTGAGTTTGTGTTTTAGCACTTTTCTGCACATGCGCTCCAGTTATGTTTTGTCTAATTGTTTTATTTTATGAATACTTAAAGCATTCACACTTGAGAAGTTCCACTTTTCTTCCAAATATTTTTCAGCAGTAAACTCATCCCACAACTTTATTTCAACAATTTATGACACTCAGCTACTTCAGGACATTCCAGCTATTACTTTTGGTATTTCAGCACTTTATACTTTTTAAGATATTTAGCTTTTTTCATATACTTTTTTCTTCCTCTGCTGTCTTTCATTTAATTTA